CCCCAAAACCCCAAAACCCCACTATGCTAAAATTAGTAATCAAATAGGTGAAATTCAAAGATTATTTAAAAGTGAATAAATATAATTTATTTAAATACTAATGAGTGAAGATAATAAACCTTCTTCAAAAGTTAAGGACGCTAAAAGTGTATACGGCTAGCAATCTCCTGACACTAGAACTATCTACTTAAACGATTCAATTAGGAACGTTCAGTTCAATTATAAGTCAAACTATATCAGGACGACCAAATACACCAAGTGGTCTTACTTTCCACTCTGTTTATTCTAGCAATTCAAACGTTTCGCAAATATTTATTTCTTCATTATCGCAGTGGTACAGTCAATATCTATTATCTCTCCCTTGAATCCAGTTACTGCTATTGCACCACTAGTTTTTGTGGTAGCAGTCTCAATGGTTAGAGAAGCCATTGAAGATTATATTCGCTATCGCTCTGATAGAGGTAAGTACTTTTTCAAGTCCATTATGAAATAAAGCATTTTATTCCAATCAAATTTTTATTTATTGACGTAATTTAGAAACTAACAGTCAAGTTGTTTACACATTGAGAGATGGAAAGTTTTAGGAACTCAGGTCAGATCAAATTGAAGTAGGAGATCTCGTATATATCAAAGAAGGAGACATGTTTCCAGCTGATTTGATTATTTTGGCATCAAGTAATGAGGGTGTTGGCTTTATCTAAACAAGCTCTTTGGATGGAGAGAAGAACTTGAAAAAGAGAAGCAGACCTAAGGGGATAGAGAGATATATCTTAAATACATTTGAAACAGATAGAATTTTGTTTGTGGGAGAATGTGTGAGTGAAAATCCGAATACTGAACTTTATCAATATACTGGGAAAATTACTATATGCGATGAGGTATTCAGTCTAAATGCAAATCAGCTTTTACTAAAGGGATCGTCTCTAAAGAATACCGATTGGGTCTTGGCATTTGTTCTCTACACTGGTAATGACACCAAATTAATGATGAATTCATAAGCAGCTACATTTAAATAGAGTAAAATTGAAAAGAGAATGAACAGACTCGTTCTCTATATAGTTATAGTTCAAATTATTCTCTGCTGCATTCTCGCTATTATCGGCTCTTTCTGGTATAGAAACGAAGATGATAAAGCATATTATCTTACATTTGAGTATAATGTTGGTACTAACGGAGTTATAAGCTTTTTCTCTTACTTCCTCTTGCTAAATACCCTTCTTCCAATCTCATTGATTGTATCTTTAGAAGTCGTTAAGGTTATTCAAGCATTTTTTATAGTGAATGATGTTAAAATATATTGCGCTGAAAGGGATAGATTTGCTAAAGTATCTTCAACCTCTATCATAGAGGAACTAGGTTAGATAAACTATATATTTTCAGATAAGACAGGCACTTTAACTAGAAATGTGATGGAGTTTAAGCTTATGCATGTTGGAGGAGATTTATACGGAAATCCAGCTGATCTCGAGGTGGTGAAACCAGGTGATGCCACAAGTCATGCTCTCTAGAGATAAGTTACTAGTACTGATACTAAAAGTGGAATTGAATATGCATTTAAGTGTGACAAGCTCTAATAATTATTAGCCGGAGATAAAAAGCAAGACTATGAGTAGGATTATTGGGTGAAATCACAAAATGGAAAGGTTTAATAGCATTTCACCACTCAGAAGCAATTAGTGAGTGAGTTTATTAAGGTTTTGGCCTTAGCCCATGAGTGCGTACCTGAATTCGTTACAAAGGATGATGGAACAAAGATAGTATTCTATTAAGGTCCATCACCAGATGAAGTTACATTGGTAGACTTTGCAAAGAACCAAGGATACTTCTTTAAATATACATCAGATACTGAAATAAAGCTTGATGTGACTATAAATGGTTCAGATAAAGAAGTAGTCTACCCAGTTTATAGAAAAATGGAGTTCAATAGTGACAGAAAGAGAATGAGTATAATTTTGAAAGATCCATCTGATGGACTAATTAAGATGTACACAAAGGGTGCTGATAGCATAATTAAAAGCAGATTAGACACTAACTAAATTGACAAGGTATCATTAGGAGAGACAGAGGATTTCCTCAATAAAGCATCTCTTAAAGGTCTTAGAACTTTACTAATGGCAATGAAAGTTATTGATGAGGAAGAATACATAGAATTTTAGAAGAAGATATCTGAAGCTGAAAAAGATGTCATGCAAAGAGATAAAATGCTTGCAGGTATTTATGATGAGTTTGAGAGAGGATTAGTGCTGCTAGGAGGTACTGCTGTGGAAGATAGACTTTAAGACAATGTCCCAGAGACTATTAATGATCTTTAAGAGGCAGGTATTAAGATTTGGATGCTTACAGGGGATAAATTAGAGACAGCAGAAAATATTGGATATTCTTGCAAGCTTCTTAAGAATGACATGACTGTTTGGAAAATGTCTACTTTGGAGGATGTATAGGCAGTATGCTCAGATGAGAGAGTCATTTTAAACAATCAAATGCTAATTGAGTAGAAAAAGCGTGGACTCTTAGTAGAGGCTTAAGCTTTGAACATTATACTGGCTAATTTCAATTTCAAAAAGAATTTCGTCAAAATCGCTAAGTCTTGCGAAGCTGTTATATGCTGTCGTGTGTCACCTAGACAAAAAGCAGATGTAGTTAGAATTATTAAAGATGATGATGATCAAGCTATTACTCTAGCTATTGGTGATGGAGCAAATGATGTTAGTATGATTTTAGAAGCTCACATTGGAGTTGGTCTATATGGTAATGAGGGAATGAGAGCAGTGTAAAGTGGAGATTTTGCCTTAGGAGAATTCTAATTTTTATGGAGATTACTCTTAGTTCATGGCAGATGGTGCTACCTCAGAAATGCAGAACTCATACTATATTTCTTTTATAAGAATCTAGTTTTCACCATTCCACAATTTATGTTTGCTTATTTAAACGGCTTCTCTGGTTAAACATTTTACGATGATTACTATATTACATGCTACAATATGATCTTTACAGCATTACCATTAATGGCAAAGGCTGTATGGGAATAGGACATCAATCCTTAAACTGATGGAGTAGATCTTAACCCTTTCCTTCCAAAACTTTACTATGTTGGACAAAAAAGCACTATATTCACCTGGGGCAACTATTTCATTTTCGTTATAAATGGATTAGCCCACTCAGTCATTGTTTTTGTGATTCCTTACTATGTTTATTCTTTTGCAATTATTACTAAAAATGGAACCAACGCAGATATGTGGATATTCTCAGTCACATCATTTAGTTGTGTTATCTTTGTAAGTATTTTTTTCTTCATCTTACATTTAGATTGTAACATTAAAACTAATGGTCTTTATGAGATACTACAGTAAATGGAACTTTGTTGCCATATTTTTACTCTCTCTTACAATTTATTATGCATTTATTTGGATAGCGAATCTTTTCTCAGTTACATACACCTATTAAACTATGCTTCCTTTACATAAGGCTCCTCATTATTTCCTGACCGTATTCCTTTGCTGTGGCACTTGCTTTATTGTTGATCTTTTCATAACTGGATTTAAATTTAACTTCCTAACCACTCCTACTGACTATTTAAGAACAATAGTCAATTCAGGCAAGAAAATCGGAGACCATAAGAAGGAATTCGATAAAATCTTTGCAAAGATCAAGACATATTATGTTGGAGAAGATATGAAACGTGAGCAAGAGCTTGAACAAAGACGCGAAGAGATAGCAAAACTTCTCGAGAAGCAAGATCTATCAAAAAATCCTTTTAAGGTCAAACCCGAGTAAATGAATAATAACCATTGAATGAACTTTGATCTCTGGTCATAGCCGCTGCTTTTATAAACATCTCAATCCTGGACAAAGCATCATCACTTATATTAATGATTTAGCAAACTTTATTTTAAATTTATTAATAAGTTTTAAAAATTCTAAAAGATATTTCACTTCTTATCAAAGTTAATTCTTTGTTCAGCAACTCTCACTCTGATTTCATCCCCAACACAAATGACTCCATAGTCTGAATCTAGTTTTCTATTTTTTGGGACTGCAAATTCTGGCAATAGTCTTCTGAATTACTGATAAGAGCCAATAATTTCAACTTGATGATAAGTTCCAAATAATGTACCGTACTCATTTTTCCTGTACTCAGCTAGGGTCTCTGTTGGTTCAAGATTTGGATTTCTATCATAGGTATCATAATTGCATGAAACTACTTTGCATCTAGAGCAATATCCAACTAATCTCATCAATACATTTCCAATTCTTGCTTCTTGCATAGCATCTTCTGAGAAAGCTACACCTGAATCTATGATAACATTTGGCCTGAATGGAATTGCTTCAATCTTGGTCTTGGCCTAATCTTCAAGAGTCATTTTCTTTAATACCTTTTATCTTAAGTCTCTAACTGAAGCTTCATTAACAATATGAATAGCAGCCTTTGAAACAAATCCTCTTGTCTAATCTCCTTCAAGTGTTTGTGGAAGAACTTTTCCGCCTGGAACATTCTTGACATAGTTTGGTGCTGATCTAAGTAAGAATACTTCTTTTTCCAAAAACTTAGAGAACCATGCATCAGCTTCTACTCCCTCTGACATACCTTATTGGCCTTTGGCAGTAGTAATAACTTCACCTTCTAGCCTCTTTCTAATTGGGATTCTAAGTTCTTTAGTAGGTAATTTAGCAGCCTCTTAAGCATCAACACAGGTAATCACAAGATATTTCTGTTTCGTTTTAAGATCTTTCTCAATACTTTGTTTTAGCAAGCTAAATTTGATTTCTGGGCCTAGAGTAATTGCTGACTGTTTCTCATTTCTGTAATAGACGCTCCATTCTCTATCATACTTAATTCCTAGCTTTGAAACTTTGATATGATCAACCTCTACAGGCTAAAGTCCTCTGCAAGGATAAATTACAAGCTTTTAGATTTTCACTGGCTTCTCTTGGTTAGGCTTGACATCAAATTTGTATTTCTTTCTGATATCTTGGTCATCTGGATGATTAGTGTTAGGCTTATTATGCATGAAGGCTAGGTAGTAACCTATAATCAGAAAGAACAAAAACAAGAATATCACTTGCATTTTTGATTCAATTTTTTATTATATTAGAGATTTAATTGATAAAAATATCTAAAGTAATTATTAGACCATTGGGGTTTTGGGGTTTTGGGGTTTTGGGGTTTTGGGG